TTCTTTCCCCACCTGGAGTCCGGGGGGGGGGGGGGGGGGGTCATTCTATTTGTGCAGACTGTGCACCTGCACAAGTTACTTCCTGGATTTAGAGGCTCTTTTATACTTAATGTTATACAATTTGGACATCTGCTGAAACCAAACAAACAGGAGTCTGTAGATGGGCCTTAGCAGAAAGAGTCAGAAAGTAACTGTACTGAACCACCAACAGCTCCCTCTTGTGGCTAATATACACATTTCTATATTTGATATAATAACAAATGGATGGTAGAGCAGGCTTGTGAAAGTGTAAAAGCCTCATCCAAAATTACTTTGAGTTAAACCTCAAACTTCGCATTCACTAAAATGCACTAAACCGTCCCTTCAATGGTTCCTAAAGAAGGTGAGGTGGTTCCTCACCTTGTTTTTTATTTTCCTGCGCACTCTTTTCAGTGCTTTCTCCTCGGTTTTAGTGAGCGGGAGTTTGTTGGGAATGGGGTAGCCCTCAGCGACTAATGTCCGTCTTTCTTCTTCCGTCAGCATTAAAGGTCCCGATGTCCCTTGGAGTTTCTAAACACCAGTGAAGATATTACAATGTGAAATGCAGAATATGAATGTGGAAGCCTCTCAGAGATGTCAACTGCCCTAAAAACCAGGATACTCACATGAGGGGCAGTAAGGAGCGGTGATGATGAGATGGCATGAGAGGATCGGGCCATTGGACGGGCAGGGCTGGGAGGCGGAAGAGATCGCGGACTTTGAGATCCGTCGCTATCACTGCTATGGCTACTGGGTGGGGTTAGAGGCATAACCCCCAGTACATCTAGGAGGAGAAAGACATAGCAGGTCATAGAATACCAAATCTATCATCTAGGTGACATCTATGAAAGAGAAACTGTAATGGCTTTGGGTCAGTGGTATTTTGCTTTTATATACTGTCGTGGCAAATCTATGTTTAAGTGTATATATACAGTCTTTGTTTAACAAACACATATTTAATACATGAAAACATATTCTCATAGCACAATGCATTTTCTAAAGAGTCAGCACAGCAGTAGTTATGAATTTGAATACAACTATCTTTCACTGAAACCTCAGACAGAGCCATCTAATAAGGGATTAGTCACTACCCTGACTCATTCACATATGTGCATATTTCAGCTTCAGCTGCTATACAATAAGCTTTTCACTACACAGGAGACAGAAGAAAACATGTGAAAGGAGCCCAAAGCGCCATCTGCTGGCTGGACAACACAATGCATAAAATCCACATCAACAGTATCATTTTATTCTGGCTAAAATTAGATCTTCATTTTCAGTCCTGACCAAAGGACTGAATAAGGAAACAAATTATGTATGTAACCACTACAGATTTCTTTTAAGGTGACATTAAAGGATATTTTTTCCCCCCTCCCCCCAATGTTAGTGTCAGCACTTACCTTAAATGATGTCTCTTAATCCGATCTTCTTCTTCTTTCCTGTCCTTTTCAGCCTCCTCTCCAGCGCTGCTGCAGGTCTCTGATCCAGCGCTGACTCCTTGCTTGCTGGCACTTCCTGTCCTACGATGTTTGCATGCGGGTGCACGCCGTCCATAGACTTACCTTGTGTCTCTCCACGTCTCCCGGCCCGAAAATCTGAACTGCGCATGCGCACCGCCCCAAGATCCTTTGCGGCCGCCCGAGATTTTTCAGATTTTCGGACTGGAGCGCGGGTCAAAGACACAGGCAAGTTTAAACCTCTTTTAAAGCGTTTAAAAAAAAAAAAGTTTTTGCATATATCTATTGCTTGCTAGCAGTAGATATATGCAAAAAAAAACGGAGGGTTTAATAACCTTTTAAGTGCTGATTTTATTTATTTATTTTTGCGCATCTAGGGACAGTGATCTATTCCAAACCACATGTAATCATATCACATACATGCAGAGTGCCACTTACCGATGCGGCTGATGTCACCCAGTCAGTAACTTGAACGAGTGACAGGGACCTCATCTAAATAGTACACTTGGGATTCCTGCGGCAGGAATCCGTAGGTTCCTGCCGCAGGAATCCCAAATCTCCCACTTAGATTAATCCGTAGGTTTCTGCTGCAGGAATCCCAAAATGCACATTAACGCATAGCATAAATGTAGTCTTCCATGGTTATTCACAAAAGGGTGAAGAGTTTGGAGAAGGCAGCAGAAGCAGTGACATCACAAGGGGGGTGCGGGGGTGTGGCCCGCACCCGGGTGACACCATTGGAGGGGTGACACCAAAATGACTCACAGTCATTTTGGTGTCACCCCCCTCTGAAAAGTCGGGCGCTCGGTCATGGACCGAACGCCCGACAGTATCAGGAGAAAGGAGGGGACCCGGCGGCATACCTTATCCCGCCGGGTGACTGTCCCCTCCTCCCTTGTCCCCGGCCATCTTGGTGATGGACGCCGGCAGATATCAGAATACTGACGCGCGTGCGGTCATCGCGCACGCGCGTGGTGACGTCACGCGCATGCGCAGTGACGTCTCGGCGGGCTGACACTCGGTTACCGCTCCGGGTGTCACCCAGCCTCGGGACGCCCCTGAGGAGAAGTGAACAATCTAGGACAATATAGCTGAACTGGAAAGTGAGCTGAATTGGAGAATGTTGTCTTAGATTGTTCACTTCTCCTGACTCTTCACCCTTTTGTGAATAACCCTGTTAGAGTCTTTTAATATGGTTGGCCATGCCATAGCTGATAACAGCAAGTAAAGCAATAAGAACAATCCTGCATTGGACAATCAGACTATGCTTCCAATCATAGAATCCAATAATATCATTAAGAAATGTTCCCACATTCTGCAAAACTCAATTGTATCTATTAGTCACTCATATCTTTGCTATAGAGTAAAGGGTCAAAGCCTAGTTTGCGTATGCTGCATTTATGTGACGTCTAGAGCAGGAAGAAGCCTGTGACAGGTCAGGGCATTGGACTGGTCTTTCTACAGGAGATAAGCTCTCTGGTTATCTATGACCTGATGAAACCTATACAAGGTGCTACCAAGTTCACACCTGGGCGTTTTGTAGCGCGTTCCTACGCGCTGCAAAACGCTCAAACACCGAAATCCCATTATTTCCTATTGGTATGGTTCACACCTGGGTGTATTACAGGCCGTATGAACGCGCTACAAAACGTCCTACGCCAAAAAGAAGTACAGGAGCTTCTTTGGGGCGTTTTAGTCGCGCGAAACGCGCGACAAACGTGCATATTTTATAGGCCTAGGTGTGAACCCAGCCTAAGACATTTCCTGGAAAATCACAGATGCAGTTAAAACATTTCATCAGACAGATGATGTGGAACGTTCACCTACCTTGTGGAATATTCAGCAGATGGTTTGGTACTCCTGGTTCTACCTTTATATGTGATATTGGTGTCCTGGAGACATTCTATAAAATTAAGGGAATGCAGAACATGACTATAATATAATCTCAGAAGAAAGGTACGGGTTCATCAGAGAACATCAGCCTGATCTGGCCATTTATGGTTGCATTGAGGAACATTTGATAAATCTATAGGTAACATTTGCATGTCTTTAGGTTTATAAGATCTTCCAGGTTATAGTAGACCTCCCTTCCAAAGTTTTTTGTTAGATTTTGTTTGGATGTTATATGTTTATGATTATTTTTCCGCCATAATTCCGAACTCTGTTTCCCTAAAGCTGAAAGTTTTGGGTGTTCCTGGCCACTTTTGTTTGTCCCAGCTCCTCCTGTTACATTCACCAATATATAAACTTTAAACTTCATAAAGAATCCAGCAGAGAAAATGAGCGTCCCTCGTAATGACCACAGCAGGTGTGTGAACTTGGGTACTCAGCATAAAGAGTGACTGAGAGAAAAGACCTTTAAAGGAGAACTATGAGGTGAGTGCTTTTCACTCATAGTTCTAGCCGACCTGTGACAATGAGACTGTCACAGGTCGGCTCAGTAGATCGGGAGGTGAGCGAACACATACCGGCGTTCGCTCCCCTCCCGATCCTGTCACGGCTCTCTGCCGTGACAGGGGAGGGGCTGGATTCCCCCCTCCCCGCTCCGATCCGCCAGCACTTACTGGCGGAACGGACGGGGGAGGGGGCGGGTACAGCTGGCTCTGCCTCTAGATAGGCAGAGCCAGCTGTCAGTCACGCAGCTGGGCGGATCCCGGCACAATTGTCGGGATCCGCTTCAGCTGCGGTGTCTCAGTATACCGCGAGCTACAGCTTGCGGTATACTAAGCCTAGGGTGACGGGAGGACGCTAGTTTGTGTCCTCCCTTTACCCTAAGGAGAACTATGGGGAAAAGCCTTAACCCCATAGTTCTCCTTTAAGTGGTTGAAATCTCCAGCATCTAACACAAACTGAAGCACCAGTTGTGAATGGGCCGATCCTTTAGAATTGCCCATAGACATGAGGGGTAGGTAGATGGGCTTGGTTATTTTTAATGAACGACTTTTTTTTTTGGGAACTCCAATGGTGACATTTCTCCAGCATTGTTCCTACTGCAGAAGGAACATGTTAGACTTTGTTTATCAGAATGACTAAAGAAACATTATCTCAGGCGATCTGTGTTGCCCCAAATCAGCCATAAAGCAGCCATAAATATAACTGATCAATATGAAACAATTCTTCATGCCAAATAATTCCAATGCCTCATGCTGATAATAGTCCTTTTATAATTTCATGTACTCACCTCGTCATTCTGCAGAACCCCTGGCCCCAGCGCTTGTTCCAGAGGTGCACTTGGGTATGTGGGCTCTGCCTGTGATAACATGTTCTGTTCCTGTTTCACCAGTAATGAACACAGCTCATGCTCCAAGGCCCACACGACACTCCCAGGTTCTAAGGGTGAAAAAATAAGTATCTTAGACCTTCGCTATAACAAGGAAAATGGATGGTCACCTTCACTTCCTATTATGCAGTGAAGGAGCAGCAGCAGACTGATGGGCTCATCCCACTGCTCTCCACTTAGAGTACATCTGCATGCAACACACTAGATTGTCTTCTAGTGCTGCCCCTCCATATCTAAGACTGGCATACTGTATAGGGTTCACAGGAGGTTGATGCCAAGTCAAATTCAAGCACGTAACACCTGTTACATTAATAAATAATGGTAATAATTTCAAATATATATATATACTGTTTTGCCTGTGTAATGATTATGTTTTTTTCAATCCTGAGATTTACACAGCTCTGAAACACAACACGGCCCTATCTGGCAGGGCAGGTGACCTGATTTTTCCCTGCTGCAGTTACAATGTAACTAGACAGTGAAAGGAGCAGCAGACTGATAGCTTGATAGCCCACTCTTCCTGTCACTCTGCTCTCTCTTCCTGTCAGCATGTTCCTGGTTAGAACATGATCACTGCAGAACAACTGATTGGCTCCTTGTCCTGTGTTTCCTACTCCTAGGCCGAGCTCTACTGTACAAGGACTGCACCCCCCTTGTGACGCCACTGTTTCTACTTTACTGAGATGGTATTCTCTAACAATGGCACTTTATAGGAGTCTTCTAGCATACATTACAATGAAACATCTGCTTATGACTAGGGATGCACCGATACTAGTATCAGTGCCGATGCCAAGTATGTGGGCGAGTACTCCACTAAATACTCCAATACCTTCCCTTATACCGGACTTCAGTCAGAGGGAGATTTCCTCTGACCGGCAGTGCCGCGAGGAAACATGGAGTCGACTTCCCGGGCCAATCAGGAAGCCGGGCACGGGTAATGGCCCGCCACCCGGCTTCCTGTTTGGCGGGTAAACCGGCTCCATGCTGTTTAGCAGCCTCCATGCTGATTGGCCAGGAAGCTTGGAGCATGGAGCCAGCCAAACAGCACGGAGCTGGCTTCCCAGCCAATCCGGAAGCTGGGCGGCGGGTAGTAACAGCGGGTACCAGGTACAGAAGGTGCAGGCCCAGCCCTGGCTGCGCCCGAGGCGACTGTCTCACTTGCCTCACCCTTGCTACGGCCCTGTGTCCAGGTATAATAGGAGATAAAGCAGGAGATCCATTCCCTTCACTACCCCAGGAGAACGGAGACGGGAATCTAGTTAATCCCTCTGCATTGTGACTGGATATCAAGAAAATCCAAACTTCTCCTCTTTGAAAGACTGCAAAATAACTTCATCAGCTTCCATTTACATGTGCACAACATCTGCTGTTCATTTAAGCAGCTGAGTTGCAGGAACAATAAATCTTTCAGTTAACCGGTTCTATTCTTATATCAGCTGCAGTGAGTGCTGACTACTGACTGCCTATTTTACAGTTCAGTCCCTATAAAATTATGAATTCCTGAAGGGATGGTGGGGATGACAAACCTCACATATAAGATGATGTAGGACAGGAGTAAGCACAGGGAGTCAGCTGCGGCTACCGAATACATAAGGCAGAGGTAGGCAACCTCAGCACTTCATCTATCATGCCTCTGCCTCTGGTAGTCATGCCTGTGGCAGTCTAGCAATGGGACTTGTAGTTCCACAACAGCTGCAATGCCAACCCATGAAATAAGGCCTAGGATAATTAGCATAGGTATTAGTAAACAGGCAAGAAGGACAAATAAGGATAAGTGCACTTTAAAGCAAAGTGCATTTATCCTTTTTGCCCCCTTTCCTTGACCAAACCTAACAGCAGAAGATCAAGGTAAGTATGCATCTGTGGAGGGGAGGGTGGGTTAGGTCAGGGTAAAGGGTAAAAAGGAAAAATGCACTTTGCTTTAAAGTGCACATATCCTTTGAAGACCAACTCCAGTCAACACACTTTTAAATAATTACTGTATGTGTGCCAATTTGGATTTCCCCTCACTTCCTTGCTGGATAGGGAATGTTTGGAAATCTCTCTCTAATTGGGGGGCGGGGGGCACCAATGGGAAGAAGACATATTTTCTGTAACGGAAGGAAAGATTAGAACCTCTTGCCCTTTTCTTGTATGGACATAAAAAGGGACAGGAAATGAAAAACAAATCTCTCTAATCTCAGTAGCCATTGTCTACTGAGGAGGGAGCAATGACTAATTGACGAATACTCTCTTATGTGGGCAACAACCCCGTCTCCAATCATTCTCTCTGAAACAGGCTCTTCCCCTGTCACTATCAGCACTTTTACACAGTGAGAGCACACGGTATAGTACTGTAGCTGCAGTAGAGTGATGCTTACCACTGGGGCTGTCTTCATCTTCCTCTTTAATGGTCAGGGCGGGACTCTGTGGGGCAGAGTCTTCACTCAAAGAATAGCTGTGCTCAACCTGTATGGGAGGAGCCGGACTCTCCACCTCCATATCCAGTAAGGCATCCCGGTCCAGCAGAGGAGGGTCATCAAAAAAACTGTTGAAGAGTTCATTGGAGAATTCATCCAGAGCATCTGAGAAGTGCTGGTTGGGGGGAGGGGGGGGGGAAATTAAAATGAATTCAGAGACAAAAGACGGGTTTCTCTGTATTATATTTATCTGACACAAATTATACATGAACTCACACCCCCTCATTGCCTGGGACAACCAATGTGACGGGTATAAAGGGGCATTTTAAACTTAACAACTATAAAACTGATAGAAATACCACATTGTAAGATATATGCAGTTGTTTGAATAAACCAGTAATAAGACATAAGATGTATTTCACAGCATTTTGTGCAAGTTCTTCCAGCTCTCCGCACTCGTCTGTTGGCTTGAGCCCTTTAAAGTAATAGGTCACTCAACTGAGCAGCCATATTGATTTACGGGCATTTAGTGAGTGATAAGTAGAACTGGACATGGGCACATAATGAGAAATAAGTAGAACTGGACATGGGCGCTTAGTGAGAAATAAGTAGAACTGGACATGGGCGCTTAGTGAGCGATAAGTAGAACTGGATATGGGCGCTTAGTGAGCGATAAGTAGAACTGGACATGGGCACATAATGAGAAATAAGTAGAACTGGACATGGGCGCTTAGTGAGAAATAAGTAGAACTGGACATGGGCGCTTAGTGAAAAAATAAGTAGAACTGGACATGGGCGCTTAGTGAGAAATAAGTAGAACTGGACATGTGCGCTTAGTGAGAAATAAGTAGAACTGGACATGGGCGCTTAGTGAGAGATAAGTAGAACTGGACATGGGCGCTTAGTGAGAGATAAGTAGAACTGGACATGGGCGCTTAGTGAGAAATAAGTAGGACTGGACATGGGCGCTTAGTGAGAAATAAGTAGGACTGGACATGGGCGCTTAGTGAGTGATAAGTACAACTGGACATGGGCGCTTAGTGAGAGATAAGTAGAACTTGACATGGCTGCTTAGTGATAGATAAGTAGAACTTCCTCCATATCCAGTAAGGGTCCAACAGAGGAAGAGTAGATTTCGCGATGGTGACAACAGTGGCCCATGCCTGCGTAATGTCAGTTAAAATGGCCCCATCTGAAGACCATTTGATGGAATAACAACACAGTGGAGCACAGCTGGGAGAGAGGACAGAGCGTTGTCACCCTATGCCAGGAAGTGCCTAAAAAAGGACCTTCATGGATGGATCATCAGGTATTATATTAACCAATACGTCACATTTAAAAATATGAAAAATCTACATGGATATGTAAAATTTACATTTATATGAGATTTTAGTGCTCTAGCATACATATACTTTAACATTTATTGCTCCATCATATATTTTCCCCAACCACACAGAGCACTTTAGGAGAAATAAAACATGTCTTTCTTTATTCCCTGTCAACGCATTATCACCTAAAGCACATGTCACCACCCTGGACTGTGACAGATTCCTGTGGAGCTACGACGCTGCATGGACCTGGAGATCTTCATAAGGACAGAAAGGAAAGATTCTTCTACCTACAGGAGGTGATGGCTACAGGAAAAGCTCCAGGGAGAGAGTAAAACGACACAGCCCTCTGCCACCCTGGAAGCAGCCAGCAGAGGACTGAAACACTAGGCGTCTGCAGACAATTTTCCAGGTGCGTGAAGGAGCCAAGTCCTATTTTATGAGTCTTCCAGGAAAAAAACACATTCTGGACATAACTGGCGACACCAGGCACAATCCTAAACAGGGCGTTTATAATTAGGGAAAACAAGGCATCATTGTTCTGTTAGATTCATTGTCAGAATTAAAAAACATAGATGCTAGTGGGTCCAAGCGGGGGTAAACATCTATCAGAGGAGGGACAACACTTGGCCAGATATTTCAAGAGTTATTTTGCATAAGCTGATATTTCAGTTATAAGTGGACGTGTGTGTGCTGAAACAACCATTGGTTTCTTATGCGTCTATAAGGGCCAGACTGAGATACCCCAACAGATATCTGGTTGTTACCCATACCACCACGGATTGCCACTCCTGTTGCACACCTCCCAACTGTCCCTCATTTGGAGGGACTGTCCCTCATTTGCAACCAAAATCCTCTGTCCCCCTGTCCTCCTCAGTTGTCTGTCTTTTTGGTCTAATGTACAGATATCCATAAAAAGGTTCTAGTCAACTGCTAAAAGTGTTATTCTGCACTCAAACCTTCATGTTATCTCTTAATTACCCTGTTTACTATTTTAAACATTTTCGAAAAGCCAGAATAAAGGAAAAATAATGGTTAAAAAGAACAATTTGGGGCTTTACCATTTATTTTTGGCATATACTGTTAATTCTTAATGGTTCACATAACTGATGGTGTGGTAGTTGTGTGTCCATTGCTAACTACACCTCAGCCAAACGTGGCATGGTTTTGATATGTGTATACAATATCACAACATTTATTTCCATCCAGAGCTGCATTAGTTTTTCACCAAGGTCTTGTAGGGAGAGTCGGAGCACTGCGTAAAGTCTTCTCCAGCACATCCCAAAGATTCTCAATGGGGTTATGGCCTGGACTCTGTGGGGGGCAATCCATGTGTGACAATGATGTCTCATGCCCCTGAACCACTCTTTCACAATGTGAGCCCGATGAGTCCTGACATTGTCATCTTGGAATATAACCGTGTCATCAGGGAAGAAAACATACATTGATATAAAAACTTGTCATTCAGTATATTCAGGTAGGTACATGACCTCATTTGTTTGGGCACATAACATTGCTGTACCTAGACCTGACCAACTGAAGCACCTTCTATAGCTTTTACCTATTTGCTTAGCTAAATCCAGGTGGTGACTTTTTTTGGCCAGGCAGTGTAGGGATGTACCGATACTAGTAATGACTTGCAGCCTGGCTTCCTGATCGGCCGGGAAGCCGGATCCATGCTGTTTGGCCAGCTCCATGCTGATTGGCCGGAAACCCGGGAAGCTTTCCGATCATTCACTACCTGCTGCCCGGCTTCTTGATTGCCCGCGAAGCTGGCTCCATGCTGTTTTGGCCGGCTCCATGCTGACTGGCTGGGAAGCCGGCTTCCCAGCCAATCAGCATCAAACCAGCCAAACAGCATGGAGCCGGCTTCCCGGGCAATCAAGAAGACGGGCAGCAGGTAATGAATGACACGCTGCCCAGCTTCCTGATTGCCCGGAAGTATCGGTATCTGTATCGGCAAGTACCGAAATATAAATATCGGTACTAATACTCGATACCGAAAAAAACGGTATCAGTGCATCCCTAAGGACTATACTGACCTAAAAGCATTCCTTTAATTCCTGGGTGTAGAGATTCCTCTGAACCAGTCAATAAATGGTTTTATACTTGCAGTATGATACAATATCAACTTTTTTAAAGGCTTTTAGCTTTTTCAAATGGAGGTCAGCAATGGCTGAGTGAGTCTACAGTTGGCTTCTCTGATCCCACAGCCTGCCATGGTTAGCTCAGTCCTGAACATACACAAAGAGCCCCACCACACAAGAAAGGCTTTGGAGTAACAAGCTAAATTTTAATGTGGGTAATTAGCTTTCCGTCCAAACACTGAAGCCAAAAACAAAAACCAGAAACAGCTAAGCAGCTCATCTCAAAGATTTGATGTTACTAATTTTTGTACTTTAAAGCTGAAGTTTTATCTGCTCATATTTTGCCTTCTCTGGTTCTTCTTGCCGCCCTCATCGACATGCTAATGAATTGTTTAAAGAAAAACTTTTGCGTTATTTCTTACATACCTTATTTAAGTCCCAGTGATCTAATTTCTTGGTTTTCTGTGCTTCCCTATGCAATGTAGGCAGATCATGGCTGGTGGGACAGGCCTACAGGTTGCTGTACATAGCTTCCTGATAACATTACAGCACCTTGCCTTAGTAGTCTTCTCTTAAGCACCCTCAGCCCTGATGCAAGCAGTGGGCAGGCTCTTGGGAGGAGTTATGCATATATCAAAATGCCTTGATAGGTGGAAGTCAGTCTGGAGGAATGGGTGTTCCTAGGCAGACTGCATTTGCATACAGGCCACACTAGGTAACACCCACATGTAACACTGAGTCTCAATGATTGAAAGAACTGAAATCCAATGAATGAAAGGGGCGGGTCCGGGACATGACATTTTAAGCTGATCCCTGGGAAAGGCACATATTGTCTTCATACAAGAGTCATGTGTATTCTTCCTTGAATCTTGGTGAGCATTGTGTATTTCTTCCATATCTGTACAGTTATCCAGTGTGAAACCTGGAGCTTCCTGTAATAAAGACCGGTCACTGCTGCTCTCTCTCCTTGTGCATAGTGACTGGCCTTGTCTCCACCCCCTCCTGCAGTTTTCTACAGTCAGCCTTTGTAGGTGTGGCCTGCTGCGCCCCTCCCACAGCTCTGCGCTCTGCACAGTGACGATTTAACTTCTACTTTTACAAAGTATTACATGGGCTTGCAAAGGTATTTGGTGCACACAAAATGTTTTATATCCTTTGTAGCTACTGAGAAATACATTTTAAAAGAGAACTATGGAGTAAGTGTTTTTCCCCGTAGTTCTCTATAGGGTTACGGCTGTAAATAAATTAGAATCCTCCCGTGACCAAAAGCTCAGTATATCATTGGCTATTGCCCGCGATATACTGTGAGCGCCGCAGCCGGGACGGATCCCGACATTACTGTAGAGATCCACCCAGCTGCGTGAGTGACAGCTGGCTCTGCCTATCTAGAGGAAGAGCCAACTGTGCCCGCCCCCTCCCATGTCCGTTCTGCCAGTCAGCGCTGGAGGATCGGAGAGGATCCCTGCAAGGAGCGGTGACTGACAGTCACCGCTTACTGCAGGGAGACAATCAGGAAGTGAGTAGATCGGCTGCATGTTTCTGCTCACTTCCCGATCAATAGAGCCCACTTGTGACAGCTTATTTGTCACAGGTCTGCTCTAACTATGAGGATGAGTGGAAATCACTCACCTCATAGTTCTCCTTTAAATAAACATGTGTATGCCTGGAGCTCAGCTTTAATAATTGAAAGATGTAGAAATCTGCTAACATTTCCCAGTTCTTTACTTTGTGCTCTCAATATGAATAATATACTATGAAGA